AGCGGGAGGGCCGGGCGGCCGAGGGAGGGCTGTGGGCGCCTAGGCGGCTGCGAGGACGGCGCCTCTTCTCTTTCGGAGTTGTCGGGCAGGTCGGAGTTACCCCGGGGAAGGGTGCCTCTCTTTATATAATAGGAACGCTCATTTTTAGCGTCCCTTCTGGTACTCATTCATCTCACAGATCAAGGTTGGGTCTTTTTTGGGCAGTTGCCATCTTTGGTAATTCGCCTCCCCGGGATCTCTTTCGCCTTCTGTTCACAGTCTTCTGCACGGAATACCTGTGTGGAAACAGATTTTCTTACCATGTACGGTGCCGTGGGCAATGCAAAGTTTTTTACGAGTGGGAGATGCTGACGGGGGCTCTGGCCTGAATAAGATAGGGGTCCTCTTTACTGGGGCCTACTCATTGCGGGGAGGAAGCAGCCCAGGAAGGCATGAAACGTGTGCACACGACTTCGCCTCTTCAGCCCTCGGGCCTTGGGGCTCGCCGCCGGGCGCCCCGTTTTTCCGGGGAGGTTGCCCGTGGTGCAGGCGGTGTGCCGCTGCCGCTGCCGCTGCCTGCCTCAGAGAAGCTGCTCCCGAGGTCCTGGTGCGGAGCCTGCCTGGGCTTTCCTCGTCCCGAGGTCTCCGGGGGCTGGAGCTGAAGGGGACCCTGGGGAAGTCTTGTGTTCAGGAAAGTTTTCCGCCCCGGAGCCGGGGAATCCAGGGCCCTCGGCTGGGACTGGCTCCTCCGTGTCCCCTGCTTAGCTAGCAGGTGTATCTGGGGGCAGGCGGTTGGCACGAAGAGCCAAGGGGAACCTGTTGCACCTGGAGTTGGCTGATTGCACAGGACTGGGAGGGCGTAGGGGCGACGCCTCTCTCCCACCCCCTAGGACTGCCTCCTGAAGGGAAGGTGCTGCCCCGAAGGAAGGGCTCTTCCGAGGCCCCTCAGTACAGCAGAGCCTCAGGGGAGAGGGACAGAGGGGCAGATAGATGCTCCCCACGCAGGGCCACTGCCTCCCGGAGTGGGGAGGGGGCGCTGAGCGAACGCTGTGGGCCAGAGGCCCGAGCGGAAGAGTAGAAATCCACTCATTCCTGCCCTTTCATGTGAGACTCAGAAAAAGCCCCTGCTAACTGGAAGGCCGGAGCTGGCCTGATTCTACAAGGAGCAGCAGGTTTCCGAATTCCCTGTTTCTCATCCAAAAAAAACAAAACAAAACAAAAAAAACAAACAAAAAAAAACATAAGCTTGCTGGCCCCAGGGAGGCAGAATCCCCGTTCATCTGCTGCCCGTCCCTAGTGGAAGAATGACGTCCCCGGTGCTGGCGGCTTCCCCTCTTCTGAGACTGGAAGTATTGGATGTTGTCTGATGGTGCTGCCGTCTGTCTGTCTGGTTGTGAGTCCGTCTGTCCTCACTGGCCGCAGCCCTTGCCACCTGTCCTGGACCTCTACTCTCTTGCTCAGGATGCCCAGGTTTGCTGCTGCTCCCTTTGGTGTTCACTGCAGTCAGCAGGTGGACGGCAGCCTCTGGCAGCTGGTGAAAAATGGTGGGCTTCTGCTTCAGTGTCCTGACAGGAAAGGGAGGGCGCGGTGCAAACAGTGTCCGTCACACCTTGGCTGCTCCAGGCACTTGGGAGAGTGGTGGATTTTAGGAGGGAGTGGATGGGTTTTAGGACAGAATTATGACAACAGTTACAGGACTATATGGGCTTATGCGGACTGTCCATCTGCTCCCGTGTAACACCTTTTCCCTGCTTTTCCTGTGACTGCTTTCCACTTGCTTGCAAATGTTATTCCTTCATTGCACTGATTTCCACAATATCGCAGTGTATGCTGCTGTTATACAACCGCTGTCTAATCCCGGAGCTCTGCCCTAACTTTGTCAGTCAGCCTCCTGTGCTCCTGTCTGGGGCTCTTGTGCGGTGGTGGATTGGTGAGTGTTTGGGATCCCAGCTGGCTGCCCTGTCATGTTGTCTGCAGTTAGTGGAACAGTGCTGGACTTTTTTCTAGCAGACACTTTGTGTCTTAGAACTGGGGTTCAGTCGCGGGGGCTGTTCAGGTGATACACAGATATACGGAATTAATGAGATATAGTCAGTGAAAGGTCCTTTTCTGGACTTGACATTAAAATAGACTGAGAAATTAAAATAGATTGACAGAGCTTGGACATATTTGTTAAATCATGAAAAACTTTTTGTGGTAGTGCATAGTCCATCATTTCACATATCTGAGACATTACCTTCATAAAATAAAATAAAATAAAATAATGACACAAACGTAAACTAAAGTATGGGAACAGAGCAGTGAGAGTTAAGAAAACTTCCTTCTGTGGTCACTGTAGCCCTGTCTTCTGAGCTGTGAACGTACTGTCTTTCCACAGGCATAAAATCAGGCATCATTAAAAAGAGTGAGAAGATGGATGGGCGAATATGCTAAAGCAACAGCACAAAGCATCAGATACATATTTGTAGAGTTTCATTGGCCTTCGTTATAAATTGCTACTTGAATTTGGTTTTGACAATGTCATTAAATATGTGTAAATAGAAAAAAAATCAAAGGACTTTAGCCTCAGAATTTTAGAAAAATTACGCATGAATTTTTGTCATAAAATACTTTGTAACAAAAATAAAAATTTTTATGTAAAGTGCACTTATTTTAAATCCTAATACCATATAGCTAGAAGTAGTTGACTGCTACAAATTTTATTGAATGATTGATTTAATTATCTGTGACTTAAGCAATTTTCTCTTAATCTTACCAGGGTGTGTGTGTGTGTTCTAAAGGCTTTTTGAAACTTCACTTCTTCAGTTAATACTCCAGCAAGTAATTGTCACTAGATATTATGAACTAGTGTATTATTACACGGACTAAAAACTGCCTTATCCGGAACGTAAATCACAAGTTCTCATTAGATGTAAAATCTTTATTCCTTTTTTTTTTTTTACTTGATAAAAGTCTACTAGAAAAAGGAGTAGAGACTGGTGAGGGAAAAGCAAAATAAAAGCAGAGAATTAAAGGGACGATTTGAAGAAGGGAATTGAGAGCCATGCTGCAACAGTTAATAAAAATAGCTAACATTTATTGAGTATCTTGTGCTACCCATTACTCCAAATATTTGATACCAAATAAGTGAACTGTGCTCACTTAATATGTGTATAAATATTTGGATTCTCGCAGTAGCCTGTGCAGAAGGTTAGTCAGATGTTTAAAAGCTCAAACTCTTACCCTAGACTCAGAATTGCAATAATATTTAAGGCCATCTTCACATAACATGGATCGACCAGAATTCAAGTCCACATTTAGTCTACTGTTTTCCCAGATGCTACACTTTCTTTTTACAGAGAAGTGAGCACTATTTCATATTATCTTTTCCTTACATGAATTCCTCCTCATTCTTCAATCTTAGAGAAACAATTGGATAAAAGATGAGGCTGATGGGAAAGATGAGGGGGTGCTCCTGAGGGGCCTGGAGCTTCAGCTGCACTCATTAACAGAATGTTCCTGAGGATGGAGGGGAAGGGGTTGTCTCCAGTGGGAGGATGGAAAATAAGTTGTAGGGCGCTGGAAAGACCATTCACTTTGGAGCCGTGCATTTTTGCGTTTTCATCCTAGCTCCTCCACTTACCATGTAAACATGGAAAGGAAATTAAATTGGAATTGAATGAGGTTGCTCTTTTTGGTAAACATTCTGAAGCCCGTGGTATAAATTGATTTATGAAGAATATTGACTTTGGGCTTTTCCCTCTCTTCTCGTCAGAGAACCTGGCCTTCATTTTTCAATCACCTGTCAAAGCTACTTCCTTCATGGAAAGGAGATAAAGTAAAAGGAAAAGAATCCT